TGTGCAGGTGGTGTCCACGTGGAGGGGGCGTGGCAAGGATTCTGTTCGACCATTTTTTGAGGTCAACAGATTGGCGCCGTCTGTGGGAAATGGTACATTAACCATGTTATACCACTATCAAAAAGTGACCGGAAAAATATAGTTTTTCGGTTAGTTCTCTACTGAAAAATAGCAAAGACAGTAGCCAAAGTATGAAGGTCTACAAAAAAGGAATTTTCCGGCAGGGGTTGAAGAAACCCGGGTTAAAAAATCCACCATGAAAAATGGTTAGTCCGGCCACAAAACATGGCTACTGGAATCTGAAAATTTCTTCAAAAACGGCAGTTGCGGTTAAGTGTGGTTGAAGAAAGAGGTCATATTTTGCTTCCCATGTTTTGCCATAACCACAAATTCTTTGGAGCAAATCCAACACCAAACGAGATGCAAAGCCATACACACGGATAAAAAACAGAGCAAAATGGTGGCAAGCAAATCGAAATAATTTTATCTAGCATCTTCTATCTGGAAAAAATTCACAAAAAAGGGAATCTATTACTGCTTTGGGTTTCCAGCACAAAAAATTCAGCAACAAAGACAAAGATAGAGGCCATTTTAATTTTTGTGCTGGAGCATTTTTAAAAAATCTGCACAACTAGAGTAGAAAAGGGGGACTTCTTCTCTTCAATTTGGTTGTTCAAACGAAAGTTTCAGTAGTTCTCTGTGTTCCTCCTTCAGCCAAAATCTTGTCCATGAGCTGAAAACTAAGCCTTTCTATCTTGAATAAAGATAGCTGGACATAGAAGAGGTTCTTGTTCTTACATATTTTTCCAACAATGGCTTCATAAATCGGAATTTTGGTTAGTTCCTTAGCCAAAGAATGAGTTTCGGGAAGAAGCCATACTCTCTCAAAGCTTTTATTAGCCACATGAAACCTCTGGAAGCAAAGTGTTGAGGAAACCAGCATTGTCTCCGACTCCAACCAGGTAATCGCCGGCACCACAGGGAACTCCATTACACGGTTCTTGCTTTTGTCCATTATATCAACATTAAATTTTTGATTGAACAAGACATTGATAGTTACGTGTTAAGTGGTTCAATTCAGCCTTTCCAGATCCTTTTTGCTGGCAGAGAAATGTACTTTTGCAGGTTATATATGCTAGTCAATGTTGATCAGTGAGTTTGAAGATACCATTTTTGGGCTTCAAAGTAATATGGCATTGGGCTTGGAAGTTCATTTTATCATGGGCCCAATAAATTCACAGTTGGTCGAAAATCTGAAGCCATTGGGGTATGGGCTTGGAGATATTAATGAGGCCAATCTAATTTGAGAAGACTCATGAGCTTTCTTCAAAAATAAAAAATTGGGCTAGTTTGGACCACACACTTCCTCCATTTTGACATTGGGTTCAAGTGGCAAGGTGTCCGTTCAAGGCAGCAAAATGATTCCAGTGACTGCATTTGCTTAAATCTCAGTTCTAAGCATTTTTCACAGGAGGGAGTTGATACATTGGTTGGCTTTCCAGTGACCACGGTGGAGGTAACAGCAATGCAAGCATAATTTTAAGATTTTTCTTTTGTGTCCAGAACTAGCCGTGTTCTTCTTTATTGGATTTCTCTACCAAATTTGGGAAAATTGTTGCTTCTGGGAATCGCATTGAAGTTATCTACTCCATGTCCAGTATTCACGGCTATCGACATATCGTTTATATTACCAAATTCATTTGTGCCAAGGAAATTATTTTTACAATGGACGCTAAGTATTCGATAAATTGCTTAGCTCGGATTTCTCTTATTCAAAGCC